ACACACACACACACACACACACACACACACACACACACACACACACACACAAGTTTGTTCTTCTATCCTTATGGGGAAATTGTCCTGACTTTCATTCATTTCCCGTAATTTCTATAACCTAATCAATCACCCTAAACCTAACAACCTGAGTACATATCTGACGAAAAACTTAATTTAAGCCTTAGTCCTAACTCTAACCCCTGACCCACCAACAGTATATCCCTCAATGAGGACCYGGCTTTTGTCCCCATAAGGAACAGTGAGTCCTCACAAGGCTGTGTGTACTGGGAAAATGGTCAAAACTCTTCCRTACCACACGCCACATTTACATATATTATATTAACCACATGGTGGGTTGTTTGTACTCTACTGTAACATATTTCAGCACTTTAATCCTCAGGAAGCTGATCCGATGTTTTACATAACAAACCTGTMCAAATATGAATACATGGACTTTTACAGAGATTAAAGAGTGTGCATGAGTTGATTTCCCAGAATCAATATGWTTTTAATACAACTGAATGGGAGCAGTTATTACTGAAATTAATGCACATTGAAAAAATCAGAGAAAACAAAACATGTAATTGTGGGGAAATCAAGTAAATGTGATTTTGTTGCACACTGATATCAAACGTACACATGTTGTAAATTATGTTAAGTATAATAATGTACACGGCAAAAGCACCTTCATTAGTGCTGCCGCAGCCTTGAGGCTCATGACTGCGACGGACTCCCTCTTTCGTCGCCTTGGCAGCCTGTTGAGGGCGGAGCGGGAGCTGGACAATGAGCAGAGGGACCCGGTGCTGGGTGTGAGGGGGTTTTGCGGGACGCTGACACCGTCCACCTCCTCCACCGTGCGGAAGGCACGACCCCGAGCCAGGGGATCTATGATCTGAGCAGACACAAGCACACACACAGTATTTACTGTATTTCATCAACACTCCTTCATTTCACACACAGATGGTGAAGGGCAGGTGAAACACGGTTAGGATTAGCCTGATGTGCTCATTAGGCAGTTTTAAAAACAGTTTTTTTAAATGATGTTACATTTAGATTTATTTTAGAGCCTAATATTAAATGTTTGTTTCAGATTTGAATCTTCACATTCACAGAGAGGATTTGTTCATCATGATTTAATTCTTTGGTGCTTTCTGAAACAGCTGCTTGAACTTATGAGAATCGTAAAAGTACACAAAGTACAACAGTTTGGTTTTCAAGAGGAAACATTCACATTTACAGTAATGCAGTATCTACAAGTTTGCAGTTAACAGCAGAAGCATACAAAGATTTTATTGTTTACGAGACAAAGTTTTTCATGCCAGTTTGCATTAAGTGTTAAGTGTTACTATCTTAATAAAAACTTCAGCTAGCTGGAATCTTTACTTAAATATATTCAAGCAACATGTTTAAACCACTAAATACTGCATACCTTGTTGTCTCACATAAATAAAATAGTTTAATGGCTCATTGTGCCCATTTAAAGACATGACTGGAACCACTTCCTGTTGTTTGCTCAGAATGGCCTTTCACCTTCCAGTTACCGCTTCAACACCTCTCTTACAGGTTGTTTAAGGAGTTTTTTTTTAAGTTTTAAGGACTAGCTATGAACAAAATTTTATGTTGATATGTTTTAAATGGTAGCAGCTGTGCAGAGCAAGGAGGTTGCTGGATCTTTTCTGGGTGCAGTCTATATGTTGCCTCTGTYCACAGTTGAGTTTTCCCCTTGTGCTCCAGTTTCTACCAACAGACTAAAAACAGACACGTTATGMTCACTGGGAACTCTTAATTGTCCCAAGGTATGAGCAGTTGTTTCCTTCTATYTACAGCGGGTAAAATAAGTATTAAACACGTCAACATTTTTCTCAGTAAATATATTACTAGAGGTGCTAATGACATGAAATTTTCACCAGATGTCGGTAACAACCCAAGTGATCCATACATACAATGAAGTTATTTGTAATAATGTGGAATGGCACAGGGAAAAAGTATTGAAATTTATCTAATACTTTGTACAAAAGCCTTTGTTGGCAATGACAGCTTCAAGACGCCTCCTGTAT